AGTTCTCTGCCAGTATTTCTTTGAACATGTTTTCTGCTCCATTCTCCTTCTCTTCTCCTTCTTGAATTCCTATAATTCTTATGTTACATTTCCTAATTGAGTCAGATATTTCTTGGAGACTTTCTTCATTTCTTTTTAGTCTTAGTTCTCTCTCTTCCTCTGCTGGAGCCTTTCAACATGTCTATCTTCAATTATGCTGATTCACTCCTCTATGATGTCCACATGAGCATTCAGGGAATCCATATTTTGTTTTATCTCTTCCATTGTGTCTTTCATCTCTAATATTTATGATTGATTCTTCTTTATAGTTTCAGTCTCTTTTATGAAGTAGCTCCAGAACTCGTTGACTACGTTCTCTACATTCTCTTTTGCCTCGATGAGTTTTTTGATGATAGCTATTTTGAATCCATTGTCGTTTAGCTTACATATTTCTGTGTCCTCAGGACTGAGTTCTGGGTGCTTGTCATTTTCTCTCTGACTTGGAGATTTGATGTAGTGTCTGATGTTAGTGGAGGTGGGTCAGGTCTTTCTCATTCTGATATTATTCAGTTGCAGTTACTGCCTATTGCCACTGGGCAGGGTTTGAGAGCTGCATATTCTGAGCTCTCTGCCTTCAGCCAAGATCCCAGGCAGTGGAGGCGGTGCGGGCTGAGTGGGGGGAGGGGTGTTGTCTCCTGTGTGCACTCTGGGCTTTCTTGATCAGCTCTCACTATCGGGTCTCCTGGGGTGTCGCCTTGATGAGGTCACTCACACCACAGGAAAGCTTTCACTCTGTTAGAGGGCTTCCCTCTAGGCTGCAAGAACTCTAGGGGATCCTTGGTGATCCAGCAAACAAGTCACCCCTTCCCCGCTCCTTGCCTCTTGAAGCCTCCCATGGCAGTTACCGCAGTCTTTAGCGGAGGGAGCGAAGCTCTGTCTCACCCTGTTCCAGCTCCTCCAAGGTGGGCTCCAGCCTCTCCACCCTCTGTCATGTTGCTCCGTGTCTCTCTGAGGTTTTTGTGTTGTTAGGATGTCTTCTGTTGGAGTATGGATATCCCTTTTTGTTGTATGTTGGAGGGGAGTGAGTCCCGGGCAAGTTCACTCTGCCATGATGCTGACATCACTCCCCCATTTTATGTTTTTGATGTCACAATTTACATTTTTTTATTTTGTGTATCCATTAATAAGTTATTGTATTATAGTTATGTTAATACTTTTGTCCTTTAACCTTTATTCTAGAGTTAAGTGATTTACACACCACTATATTATAATATTAGAGTATTCTGAATTTCACTATATTCTTTACTAGTTTTTTTTGTTCATATGTTTTCATGTTAATAATTAGCATTCTTCATTTCAGCTTGAAGAACTCCTTTCAGCATTTCTTTAAGGCAGATCTCCTGGTGATTAACTCCCTCAGCCTTTATTAGTATGAGAAATTCTTCATCTCTCTGTCATTCCTGAATGACAGCTTTGCCAGGCAAAGCATACTTGGTGGACAGTTTCTTCCTTTCAGCACTTTGGATATATCATCCCACTCTCTCCTGGCCTACAATGCTTGTGCTGAGAAAGACACTGATAGCCCTATAGAAGTTCCCTTGTATGTGAGTAGTTTTCTTTTCTTGTTGCTTTTAATATTCTATCTTTGATTTTAGACAGTTTTTTTATAATATGTTTGCAGAAGATCTCTTTGGGTTGAATTTATTCAGCCCAAAATTTATTGGGGTTTTGAATTATTGAATTTATTGGGGACCCGTGAGCTTCATGAACTTGAATGTTCATATCTCTCTCCATATTTGGGAAGTTCTGAGTCATTATTTTTTAAGTCAGCTTTCTGTCTCTTTCTCCTCTTTTCCTTCTGGGACTCCCATAATGCTGAAATTGTTTTGTTTGATAGTACCCCATAATTCATGTAGGCTTTCTTCACTCTTTTTCTTTCTTTTTTCTTTGTTCTTCTCTGAATAGAAAATTTCAAATGACTTGTCTTCAAATTCGCAGTTTCTTTCTTTTGCTTTATCGAGTCAGTTGCTGGTGTTCTCTATTGCAATTTTCATTTCATTCATTGTTTTCTTCAGCTCCACAGTTTCTGTTTAGTTCTTTTTTATGATTTCTATCTCTCTCCTAATACTTTTATTTTGTTCATGTGTTGTTTTTCTGATTTCATTGAATTGTCTTTCTGTGTTTTCTTGTAGCTCACTGATCTCCCTTAAAGGAGCTATTTTGAATTCTTTATCTGTCAAATCATAGACCTCCATTTCTTTAGGTTGGTTACTGGAAAATTGTTGTGTTCCTTTGGTGGTTTCATATTTCCTTGATTTTTCGTGTTCCTTGAAGTGTTGCATTGCTGTGTTTGCATTTGAAGAAGCAGACACCTCCTCCAGTTTTTACTGACTGGCTTTGGGAGAGAAATAATTTCTGCTAGCCTGGCTAGGGATTCTGAGACTTTCTCAGAACTTTTATATGGATAGGCCTGCTCCACACTTCTGGTTCCCTTTTGGTGGTGGTGGTGGTATGATTCTTAGGACTGTATGACTTCTTTCAATCCTACAAAGCCATACCTAGAGCTGATAGCTTCCATTTTACTCTTCCTAAAATGGTGGTGAATGTTCAAGTTTCTTTGCTTTTTCCCAATCTTGCAGAGTTGGGCCAGCTTTCTATGTGTTTTTTTAAGCTCTCTGCCAATGCTTGTACTTGCCACTCTCAGGGGCACATACAGAGAGCAGACCACAAAGTAGTGGGGGGCTATGTGGGTGAGGTGGGGGGAATGTTGGGAGTTGGGGCCCACAACTGTGGGCCAGTTGTGGGGATCTGCAGGCAAGGCCTCTCCAGTAGTTTGTGGGTGTTCCTCTGAATGGAGTCTGTAAAGCAGTTAGTAGGAAGTGTGTCCCTTTGATGCATTCCAAACTCTGCCTTCTGTGCTCCCAGCCTCTCTCCAACCTCAGGTGTGCAGCTTACCTCAGTATTCTGGATGGGATGAGAAAAAAGTGGGTTTCTTTGGCAGTGTTCCCCACACCTGAGGAAGCTGGGCACTCTCTCACATGCTCTCACTTTCTGCTGTTGGAGAAATTGGGGGCCAAGAGGATCTCTCTTGGCACTGAGTTGTGCCGCCCTGTGGCAAGGGAGACACAGATAAACTGAAACTGTTCCTCTTACTCTCTTCAATGCATCCAATCTTGGCTTTTGTTTTTTTGCTCCAGGGATGAGCTAGAACTTCTCCACTGGACTCCCAGACTCCCAAAAAGGTACTCTTACCTGTGAGTGTTGTCAAAATCAATGTTCTTTGAGGGGAAGAAAGCTTTCTGCTTATTGGCAGAAAACAGGTATTCTCCCATCTTGCTGATATCACTCCTGTGGTTTATTTCATTGAATGGTTTTTGTATGTTGAACCATTGCTGGATTCCAGAAATAAATCTCAGTTGGTCATGACGTATAACCTTTTAATATGTTGCTTAATTTGGTTTGCTAATATTTTGTGGAGTATTCTGGATCTTAATATTTTAATGGAAGGAAGGAATGCAACATAGAGCAGTTAAGACTGAAGAACAAAAATTTAAGTTAGAAAGTTGGAAGAACAGTGATTTTACATATTGTTATTTATGTTTCATATTTTAACAACAATCATCAATAAAAGAGATAATGAACTTTACATTGCACATCTGTGAAAAATTATAATTAAATATTTTACAAATATGATAGAACAGTTTGAATTCTACTTTCCCTCAAAAGAAGATCCAAGCATAGAAAAATAATGTATCTGGAATCCATTTGTTTCACTGACAGGTATTTTTCCCCCCTGCTTTTTTCTCCCCAAATCCCCCCAGTATCTAGTTGTATATTCTTAGTTGTGGGTCCTTCTAGTTGTGCCATGACACTGAAAGGTATTTTACATTTTTTTTTTTTGAGCAAGATTAGCCCTGAGCTAACATCTGCCAATCCTCCTCTTTTTGCTGAGGAAGACTGGCCCTGAGCTCACATCAGTGCCCATCTTCCTCTACTTTCTATGTGGGACGCCTACCACAGCATGGCTTGCCAAGCAGTGCCATGTCCACACCTGGGATCTGAACCGGCGAACCCTGGGCCACCGAAGCAGAATGTGTGCACTTAACTGCTGCGCCACAGGGCCAGCCCCTTAACTTTTAACTACTACTCTATGGGATAAATTATTGTATCTAGCCACTTATGACAATTGGATATGAATTTTGAAAATACATCATCAGTTCGTTTTGGATGAAGGTTGAGAATGAACCATAAATTTACTGAAATGGCTTTAAAATCGATTCTTCCATTCCCATTACATACCTTCAAGAGATAGTTTCCTACCATGAGAACTTAGAAATAGTTTAGACATAATTTTTTCACTCCAAGTAGTGCTTTTATCAATTCAACCTAATTTAGATAGATGATTAAACAATTTCATTTGTCATACTGAAAGCTTTAAATATGTATACACATTGTATTTATTTGAAGTGTGCTTACAGGCATTTAATATGCAGAACAGAAATTTCACTCAGAACTTTGCTTTAGTTACAATTGTAGGACAAAAAGTTACCAGTGTAATAGCTATTCTCTACATTAAAAACTGGCAAATTTTCTCTGAGCAAAGTGTACAGTTTCTTAAATTATTTTCTCTCTATGTTCCAATTACTTATTGAAATGTAATTTTATATCTGTCAAATTTCATATTTAAAAAGTGAACTTGCATTTTCTATATTTTTTAACTCATTTTACGAGTAATTTATTTTTATCTTAATTTAGTAACTATCTATCAGTGACTGATAGATTACAGACAAAAAGGCAAAATGGTCCTTCATCGTGGACAGTAAAGTCGCACTCGTCTAAATAGCTGGGCTGCGCTCCCTGAGGGCAGACGATGCATTTTATTCAAATTTACATGACAGCAGGCCTTAGGCAATTCTTTATCAAAGAAATGAAGGGTCAATGTCCGACACTGGGTCTAGGGTGTTAATAAAACGTGTATTACAATTCCTCAGTGGTTAGACTTGCAAACAGTTACTGAGGTGTATTTGCCAGGGTTCACCTGCCACCTCCTCCTGCGCGGCTGTTTTCCGTCCTCCTGGGGAGGGGGCGTGGCCAGCACCACGGCCCGCCCTATCTGTGCACTCGTTGGTCCAGCCCGACGCCCGTTACTGCCGAGGCCCGCCCAAACCACGCCCCCGCGGAGCGCGCCGGGCCGAGAGAAGGCGTAGCCATTGTCTGGCCGGACAAGCCAGACCGTGTGCTCTCGTGAGAACCGGGACGCGCTCGGAGACTCGCACGGCCCGCGGTCGCGCGCAGCCCCGCCCCCCCGGCACGCAGGCCCCGCGCGAGCTCGCGCACGCGCGCACCCGCCAGGGCCTCGGTCTGGCCCGCGAGGACTGGCGGGCCGAGAGCGGGCCGCTGAGGTGCGGGGGAGGAGACCGAGCCGCCGCCGGCGCCGAGGAGCATGTCTGCAAGTCGGGCCAAGAAAGTGAAGATGGCCACCAAATCGTGCCCCGAGTGCGACCAACAGGTGGGCGTCGGGGCCGGGCGCGCGGGCCGGGGGCGGCCGTTGGCCGTGGAGAGCCCTCGCCGGGGCGCCGGGCCGGCCGGGCGGGCGGGGTCTCGGTGGCCGCGGGCGGGCCGGGCGGGCGGGGCTCTGTCGTGCGGCCGCCGGGCGGGCCGGGCCGGGCTGGGTGTGCGGGCCGTGGCGGGGCCGCCTGGCCGGCTCCGGGCGCGGCGGGCCGTGCGGCCGCTTTGTTCCCGCGGGCGGCGGGCGGGGCCGGCCTCTTAGATCTCGGTAAGGTGGTGATCTTTTTTTTTTTTTTTTGAGGAAGATTACCGCTAACTGCTGCCAATCCTCCTCCTTTTGCTGAGGAAGGCTGGTCCTGAGCTAACATCCGTGCCCATCTTCCTCTCCTTTCTATGTGGGACGCCTGCCACAGCATGGCGTGCCGCGCGGTGCCAATGTCCGCACCCGGATCCGAACCGCGAACCCGGGGCGCCGGAGTGCAACGTGCGCACTTGTGGGCTGCGCCCGCCGGCCCTGAGGTGATCTGAGTCTGTTCTCACAGCGCTCCTAACCGCACCAGGCATCGGCCTGGTCTGGGTCTTTAGTGCTACACCGCTGACTGCTAAGTCCCGTTAAAGGCCGGTGTCCTAGGCGCTGCCCTCCCGAGCCGGCGCACGTCCTTCTAGCTTCTTCCGGGTGCACCTGCCGCTGCGCCCCTGCGCTCTGCTGAGTCCGTGGGCTCCGGGGCCCGTGCAGCCGGAGGGGCGGGGCCTTCGGGCGGGGGGCGGGGCTGGCGCTCGGCCGCCTCCCCGGAGCCCGGGCCCCTCGGGCGGGCGGGGCCCTCGCTGCGCGGGGAGCGCCCCTAACCCCGCGGACGTGTGTCGCCCAACGGAGCGCTGTTTCACTGTTTCCTTTATGTATAAAATTTGATATTCTTAACTAGAAAAAGTTTATTTGAAACTGCCTCAGTTAAAACCGTCTGTAAGACATCTTTTCTGCCAAAATGCAGCCCTTAAGGTGTCTTTCTTTCCAGAATGTACCTCTCTCCTCTCTTTCCGTCCCTCAGTGAGAGAGGGTCTCTGTCTCCTCTAGTTCCTCAGCGGAAAGCGGTGGTTTTCAGTGCGCAGCTTTGTGTGTATTTAGCTAACTAACGTTATCCCTACGAATTTAACTTTTTGGTTGCTATTGTAAGTGGAATTGTTCTAAAAACTTCATTTTATCCGTGTTCATTAATTGTATATAGAAATACGATTTTTTTTGTTGTAGTAAAAACCCTAACATTCACCACTTAAAGCGTGTTAAGTGTGTACTTCGGTGCCGCCGTCCCCACCGTCTAGTTCCAGGACGTCGTCCCCGCTGCAGAGCGAGGCCCTGCTGCGCCCCCCCCAGCCCTAGCCGGCGCTGCTGTGCTCGCTCTCTCTGCATCTGCCTGTTGTGGATGTTTCGTGTAAATGGGGTCACGCAGTACGTGTCCTTTGACGTCTGACTTCGCTGGTGTAGCAGTCAGCGCGTCCACGTTGTGGCACGTGTCACACTTCAGGGCCGTCTGTGGCCAAATAGCGTCGCTGCGTGGGCGTACCACAGTTTGTTGTCCGGTCTTCAGCTGACGGCCGTTTTGGTTGTTTCCGCCTTTTGGCTCATGTCAGTAGTGCTGCTGTGAACGTTCATGTACAGATTTTTGTTTTAACATCTACTTTCGTGTGTTATATTTGCAGGAGTGGAATTGCTTGGATGTATGGTAATTCTGTGTTTAACTTATTGAGAAATTGCCAAATTGTTTTCCATGGCAGTTGCTCCATTTAACATTCCCACCAACAATATATGAAGGTTCTAATTTTTCCACATCCTCACCAACACTTGGTATTTTTTGTTTAAAAAAAATCATTGTAGTCATCCTAGTATTGTGGGAACTGGGATGTCATTGTCATTTTGATTTGCATTTCCCTAATAACTAAGGACATTGAACATCTTTTCATGTGCTTCTTGGTCCTTTAGATATCTTCCTTGGAGAAATGTCTCTTCAAGTTCGTTTTTCTTTTCTTTTCTTTCTTTCTTTCTTTTTTTTTTTGATGAGGAAGATTGGTCCTGAGCTGACATCTGCTGCCAATCGTCCTTCTCTTTTTTTTTTTTGCTTGATGAAGATCGGCCCTGAGCTCACATCTGTGTCCATCTTTCCTCTATTTTGCGTGTTTCCACCACAGTGTGCACCAAACTTGACAACTACACCACTGGGCCAGCCCCATCAGTTTTTTGATTGGGTGATTTTTCTTTTGTTGTTCAGTTCTAAGAATTTTTGTATATTCTGGATACCAGACCCTTATCAGATATATGATTTACAAATACTTGCAAAGATCCATTCTGTGGGTTTTTTCACTCTCTTGATAGTGTCCTTTGATGCACAAAAGTTTTTTTTTTTAAGATTTTATTTTTTTCCTTTTTCTCCCCAAAGCCCCCCCGGTACATAGTTGTATATTCTTCGTTGTGGGTCCTTCTAGCTGTGTCATGTGGGACGCTGCCTCAGCCTGGTTTGATGAGCAGTGCCATGTCCGCACCCAGGATTCGAACCAACGGAGCGCGTGAACTTAACCACTCGGCCACGGGGCCAGCCCCGCACAAAAGTTTTTTATTTGGGTGTAGTCCAATATGTCTATTTTTTCTTTTGTTGTGTGTGCTTTTGGTGTCATAAGTAAGAAACCATTGCCAAACCCTTGGTTGTGAAGATTCACCCCTTTTTCCATCTAAGCGTTTTATAGTTTTAGTTCTTATGTTTATGCCCTTGATCGATTCTGAGTTAATTTTTGTAGATGGCGTGAGGTACGGGTTCACCTTTATCCTGTTGTATGTGGATATTCCAGTTGTTCCAGCTCCATTTGTTGAGGAGACTCTTCTTTTCTCCTTGAATGGTCTTGGCGTCACTGTTGAAAATCAATCGACCATAGATACATGGGCTTATTTCTGGACTCTCAGTTTTGTTCCATTGATATGTCTGTTCTTATTACAGTGTTTTTTGTTTTTTGCTGATCCACAGTATTTTTTTGAAGACTTTTTTTAATTGAGGTGTACTTATAACATTGTATTAGTTTCAAGTGTACAACATAATGATTTGATATTTGTATATATTGCATAATGATCACCACAGTAAGACTTTATTTATTTTTTTTACAGCAGTTTTAGGTTCACAGCAAAATTGAGAGGAAAGTACAGAGATTTCCCCTATATCCTCTGCCCCTACACATGCATAGTTTCCCCCATTATTAGCATCCCCCACCAGAGTGGTCCATTGTTAAAACTGGTAAGCCTAGGGGCTGGCCCCGTGGCTGAGTGGTTAAGTTCGCGCACTCCACTGCAGGCGACCCAGTGTTTCGTTGGTTTGAATCCTGGGCGCGGACATGGCACTGCTCATCAAACCACGCTGAGGCAGCGTCCCACATGCCACAACTAGAAGGATTCACAACGAAGAATATACAACTATGTACTGGGGGGCTTTGGGGAGAAAAAAGAAAAAAATAAAATCTTTAAAAAAAAACCAAGAAAAACTGGTAAGCCTACATTGTCACGTCATTATCACCCAAAGTCTGTAGTTTACATTGTGGTTCACTCTTGGTGGTGTACATTCAGTGGGTTTGGAGAAATACATAATGACATATATTCACCATTACAGTATCATATAATAGAATATTTTCACTGCCCTAAAAATCCTCTGTGCTTTGCCTCCTCATCTCTCCCTCCTGCCAAACCCTGGCAACCACTGATCTTTTTACTGTCTCCATGGTTTTACCTTTTCCAGAATGTCATATAATTGGGATCGTGATATTTAGCTTTTTCAGATGGCTTCTTTCGCTTAGTAGTATGTAGTGAAGGTTTTGCCATGTCTTTTCATGGCCTGTTAGCTCATTTCTTTTTAGCACTGAGTAATACTCTATTGTCTGGGAGTACCACAGTTTATTTATCCATTCACCTGCTGAGGGACATCTTGGTTGCTTCCTGGTTTTGACAGTTATGAATTAAGCTGCTGTAAACATCGTGTTCAGACTTTTGTGTGGATATAAGTTTTCATCTCTTTTGGGTAGTTACCAAGGAGCATGATTGCTGGCTTCTATGATAAGAGTATGTTTAATTGTACAAGAAACTGCCAAACTGTCTTCCAAAGTGGCTGTAACATTTTGCATTCCCACCAGCAATGAATGAGCGTTCCTGTTGCTCCACATCCTTATCAGCATTTTGTGGTGTCAGTATTCTAGATGTTGACCATTCTAATAGATATGTTGTTAGACTTAGCGTTTCCCTGATGCGTAAGACATGGAGCATCTTTTTATATGCTTATGTGCCATCTGTACATCTGTTTCGTGAGGTGTCTTTTAAGGTCTTTGGCCCATTTTTTAATTGGGTTATTTCCTTGTTGCATTTCAAGTGTTGTTTGTATATTTTGGATAATATTCCTTTATCAGATAGGTCTTTTGCTTATATTTTGTCTCAATTTGTGGCTTGTCTTTTCATTTTCTTGACAGTGTCTTTCACAGAGCAGGAAATTTTAATTTTAATGAAGTCCAGCGTATCAATTCTTTCTTTCATAATTGTGCCTTTGGTATCGTATATGAAAAGTCATTACCAGACCCAAAGTCATCTAAATTTTCTCTTGTGTTATCTTCTAGGAGTTTTGTAGTTTTGTGTTTACATTTAGGTCTTTGATCCATTTTGAATTAATTTTTGTGAAGCATGTAAGATCTGTGCCTAGATTGTTTTTATTTTTGCATGTAGATGTCCAGTTGTTCTAGCACCATTTGTTGAAAAGTCTACCTTTGCTCCGTTGTGTTGCCTTTGCTCCTTTGTCAAAGATCAGTTGACTGATTTATGTGTGTCTATATCTGGGCTCTCTGTTTTGTTCCATTGGTCTATTCTTTCACCACTACCATACTGTCTTGATTACTGTAGCTGTATAGTAAATCTTGAAATTTGGCAGTGCCTGTCCTCCAAACTTGTTCTTCTCCTTAAATATTGGATTGGCTATTCTGCGTCTTTTG